GGGCCGGGGCCGCCGCCGCTCCGGGGCGGGGCCTCGAGGGCTGGCCCCGCGGCTCCTCCCCTCTCCGCTGGCCCTGTCTGCCTTTGGCCGGGCGAGCTCGTACTCACGGCCCAATGACGACGAGGCCCAACCTTTCCCGCCCAGGACCTAGAGACACGACCGACGGGGAGCCCAGGGCGGCTTTATTGCTGTCTCCGCTGCCGCAGCAGAGAAAGCTCCCCGGCTCTGCTGAGACGCCGGCTCACCTAAGCTTTGCCCGGCGTCTGGCCCTCCCGGACGGCACCTAACTACAACCGGCGCCCGTGTCTGCACTTGGCTAGCGAGACACTCTATCAGAAGGCTCGAGACCTGAGGCCATCGAGGTCGTGGGGACCCAGGCACTAGAAAACATGGGAACCGACGTCCCAGCGTCGGAGCAGATCAGCTCTGCCAGAAGGGGTCCACAAGTTTATTACCCCGAAGATACTGGAGGCACCGCGGCTGTGCGGGTTACGGACCGCGAGATCCCTGAAAACTGTCGATCCCAAAATGAGCCAGGCTGTTGCAGTCCGGAAGGCTCTGGACAGCTGATGGATTCCTATGAGGGTAAAGCTAGGGGGTACCAGGTGCCTCCCTTTGGTTGGCGCATCTGCCTGGCTCACGAGTTCGCAGAGAAGAGGAAGCCCTTTCAAGCTAACAATATCTCCCTGAGCAACCTGGTAAAGCATTTGGGCATGGGCGTCAGGTGAGTAGAACCCATTGCTCAAAATGCTGTAGGCTTCACTGTGTTCCATTCGAAGAATCCCGAGGGTAGGACAAGGGAGTGGTCCCAGTAGGGAGTTTCGTTCCCAGCAAGTTTTAGGCTGTGGATTTTGAAGGATGAGGCCAAGTCATATTTCTTTTGCTTCCAGGATCTTGTCTTTTCATAGGCAAAAAGTAGAAACATTTGGTCCTGCAGTTAACCTTTCTCCTTTAGGCTTCCTCTTATGTACTGGTTATTTTTCCAAAGAATTCCCTTTGGGATTAACTGTACTTTTTGACAAGGTATGAAAGGATAGCCCCCCTGTTGTGGTCCTGACAGTATTTTATTTGAGGGGGACATTCTCTATACCTTATTTAAGCATATGGTGTTACTCATCTATGTCTGTCTTCAAGCTTTAGCTCTGGGGAATAGGTGAGAGCCTGCATATTGTCAACTCTAAGGAGGTGAGGAGAGGTTTACTCTATCCTGGGAGAGACAGCTCTGAAACAAAAGCAAAGACGGAGCTGGGTTTGGTGGTATGCACATGTAGTCCCACCTACTAGGGAAGCTGAGGCAGGAGGCTAGAAGGTTGGAGCCAACCTGGACATCATAATGAGAACCTGCTTCAAAAAAAAGTAGGTCTGGGGATAGCTCTGTGGTAGAGAGAAGTGCTATATCCCCAGCCCCCTACAGATCACTTGTGACCAGGTAAGCGCTGCCATAGATGTCCCCAGAGCTCTTTATAAAAGTTTCGTGAAGCTTGCTGCGGCTTTTTCCCCACCCCCAAAGGTCACAAGTGCCCCAGAACTTACCCTGGGCTATAGAAACCCTGTGGATCCCCACTGAATTCAAAGACTAATGATGAGGAGCCATACCTATGAACGGGAACAGGTGGATGTGAGTGAGGCCAGAAAGCATCAGCCTTAAGTCATCCTGAGTCAGTCTGCACAGTAAACACAGAGCTGAGGAGGGAGGGAAACTCAGGGTTGGGAAACTCAGGCTTGACTACTTCCTTCACTGCCCGGGTCAGTGCTGAGGGAGTATGATGGGAAGACCATTAACCTAAGCCCAGTCCTGGGAAGTGGAAAGAGCCTGGTGCTGCCTGGGTGTCTAGCTTCTTTGCTGTTGCCTGTGGATGGCCTGTACCAAGGAGAATCATCCTTCCAGGATGCTTCTGAAACTGACCCAACAGCCTGTGGGTCCACATGGGATCTAGAATAGTGAAGACAGTGGGGTGCATGTGGTAGGGATAGTGAGGTCAGGAATAGGTGGACATCATAGCCTCTTACCCACCGAATGTGAGTTGAGTTACAGAAGCCTAGCTGTTGCTTAGACCCTTGCACCCTGGCTTCCCATACCAGTATAGGGTGGAAATCATTAACACAGACCTTTGGGGATAGAATAAGGCCCTGCTTTGAGAAAGCAGGAGTAAGACAAGAATCTGGAATGGTGATTCTTGAGTTGGGGTTGAAATTGTGGAGAAGGCCTATAGGTCAGGCATGGCCAGCTGCTAATTAGTGGCTTAGTGGGGAGAGAGTACTTAAGTGGGAGCAGAACTGGGGGGCACTCTGAAGAAGAGCTCCAGTAAGACAGTTCTCTGGGCCTACCTAGGCTTGATAAGAGCTCAGATTTTATTGTTCTCCCTTTAGCCAGAGTCCATTCGTTCAGTGTTTATTGAGTACTTGCACCAGCCCAAAGATTTTTTTCTATCTTATCTTGTATTTCTTCTCCCTAACTCCCCTAATCCTGGTTGTACCCTCCTTTCCTCCACCAATCCTTTCTGGCCTCTAGTTTCAAAGTCCAGTTTCTTGTTAGCTGTGAGAAATTTCTGCTCCCCAACATCTCACCCTTTGCCCTACCCTGCCCCAAGCCCCACCTTCCCCTCCTCCATCCACTCCAGAATGTACTGTCCCTGTTCTTTAATCGCATTTTCCCTCTGGTGGCTCCAACCTGCCGTTGCGGTGCTCCATTATTTGTACATTCATTCCATTGTAAATTAAGCAAGTATGTGTGTGCTACAGACAGAATGTTCTGCTCTATGCTGAGAGTAACATTCAAAGTCTTTGTTACTATCTCTTTCCCTCAGGGAACTTAAAATTTGGGTCAGACTCACATGTGGAATGTTGAAATAACAAGGTATTGAAATAAGGAATTGAGATAGTAAGTACTAATCATGCCTGTTACAGGTGTTCCACTTTATGGCTTTTTTATCAATTATATCATCAGCTGTTTCTGCCATTCCATGACAGCTAGGACAGGAGGTATCCCCATTTTGTAAATGAGGAAACCAAGGCTCAAGGGCTTACCTGATTACTGTAGTTGGTTAGAAGTCGTGTGACTGAGCATTGGGTATAAAATGATTGGGTAGAACCCGATGTCGTGGCACATGACTATAATCCCAGCACGTGGAAGGAGGCTGAGGCAGGAGGATCACTGTAAGTTCAAGGCCAGCCTGGGCTATATAGTGAGTTCAAGACCAGGTTTAACTACATGTTTCAAGAATCCAAAAAAATAGAAAGTAAAATAAAATAACTTGGAGAAGACAGTACAAGTGGGAAAGAGACCACCAAGGCAGAGCTTGCTTAGTGAGAACCATGCTGGATGAGAATTTGTAGGAAACATTGGAGAGCAGGTTGGGGCAGATGCCCTCGCCTGAGAAACACAATCATTTTACCCGTGGAAAACAATCTTCTGCCTGTTGGATACAAGGCAGGGACAAAACCAGGAAAACTTTGGATTTTTTTTTAAGGTTTTATAGGGCTATTATGAAAGAGCAAAGTCTGAAAGCTCACAGACTTAAAGAGGAAACGGCCTGAAGTGTAAACACTGGGTCACTTTGGGTAAAATTTTGGGTAAAATGCTTTTTTCCCTTCTACCTGGTGTATTCTCCAGATTTTAACCTTTCATAACCAGGAAGAAAATTATTTCAAAAAGAATGTTAGCAGCCTGTAGCCTGTTTTAAGAGGTGGAACGTGGGCAGTGGAAGATGTAGGCCAGGGAAGTGTACCTGACCTTTCAGTACCTCGGACAAAAGCTCTTGAGGTTTGAACTAAAACAGTGGTATTAGTTAGGAAAGGCAAGATCATAAAGCTCTTTCTGAGGAGGATAAAGAGAAGAAACAGAGGTGTTGGGACAAGTGGGAAGATGAAGGGGCCTTGAACTGTAATCAAGAGGACTTAGAAGCCAAGGTGATGGGCCCTTGGGATGTTCATGGGAGGTCACAACCGATTGCTGCGAGAGAGGCAGTTGACTCAGCCTGTGAAGAACTGCCCACCCACCCGCTTGCACTCACATTGTTCCTTAGGTACTTGAAGTGGTGGTATCGGAAGACCCAGGTGGAAAAGAAGAGACCTTTCATCGATATGATCAATTGTGTACCCCTGAGACAGATCTATGGTGAGCCTCACCCCAGCTCTGCCATGCTTAAAGAGGATCCAGTCTCCAGGTCTGCCACACAGTTTATGCACACTGTGCTGCTGTCCCTAGAAAGCAAGAAGTGGGCTTGTCTTGCTTTCTCCATACCCCACTCACCCTCCTGACTCTGTGTCTAGGTTGTCCCTTGGGTGGCATTGGTGGAGGTACTATTACCCGTGGCTGGAGAGGCCAGTTCTGTCGTTGGCAGCTTAACCCAGGAATGTACCAGCACCAGACAGTCATCGCTGACCAAGTAAGAGACAGCCCCAAAGAAGGGCTTCTTGACTAGTATGGAGTTTGGATTTAGACCTACGATTAAAGCCAATAAGTGCTTTCAGGATGCCTTTTGTGTGCCTAGCCTTGTGCTGCCAGCTTATCTTTGAAGGAGAAATGGCTGGCAGATATTAGGTCCCACTGGTGATAATGTCCTTCCAAATTCAAGTTTGCAGACCTAATATGCCAAGAGCCCCTCTCTCTAGTCCTTAGGTATCCCAAGGGGAAATGCCTTCTGGAAGCAT